AAAGTTAAGTCACCGCGTTAGCGGCATTTCAGACATTTAAAACTAAAAAATTAGCCAGTAATTATCAATGTCGACGATATGAAACATTTATATTGTGATACATTTTTTAGCCATGTCACTCAGTCTTAGCATGTAATATTCTCAGGATATATTTTGTCCTTTGTAGGTATAGAGTCAGTTTGATATGTCAGTAATTCACCCCACCAATGTCTGAAACTGCTGTTTCTAATGGAGGTGTTCACAGGTACTGACAAGCAAATATCAACATGGAGAGCACCTGGCTGCTACTTTCAAAAGCTGCTAAGGTGTACTTTTTTTAAACTTAGTAAAGACTAGATTCATTTACTGATGTGAAATCCATTGAATGGAAAGAGTGCGATGACAAAAGCTGGATTATTTATGTGTGAAATCAGTCAAGGAAAGAGTGAAGATATTCAAGCAAACGTTGATTCTCATCCCTTGGAAGAGGAGCAGTATCACCCGCAGGGCTGTGGCTCTTATGTATTATGAATGTACTGTGTCTCTAATGTAATTTGCTCTGCTTAATGTTGAGGCTCCTTCTGAAGACAATGATTTAACAAATGGAAACACTGAAGCTTAAGAAACCAGCTCTGCTTTCCTCATCATCTCTTCCTCCACTTTCTTACTTTAGTCATTTAAGAAGCTTGATATGAATATTAGCCTAGGTGCTATTTGTGGCACAATGTTCATTCAAAGATGAAAGCTCGACAATTTCAATTTGTTTTATGAGCCTGCCATGCTGACCAGCAAAATAGGAGTGGAGTAATTACAGCTTCCCTGCCTGTCCTCTGCCCTGTGCTGCTGGATTTGCTCGCAGCGATGCAGCACGTCTGCCAAACGCGAGGAGAAGCTGGCACATTGCGGGCGGCAGAGGAGGAGCTCAGCAGCCATAATGAAATCCTGTAAACCTCATAAAACGGGAATGCAAAGCAGCCTGCATGTTTGACGTCAGGTGCTTTTCCTGCCCACGTCCTTTACAAGGAATCTGTCTGAACCAGACATAAATTAGACGGAGAATCAATTCAGCTCGAAGTCCGAGTGAGTCTGTGTTGTGGTTAGAAATGTTCCCACTGGGCTGGATGCAGCAGTTTGCTTGTAATGGAGAAGGAGTGATCTCGACAGGCATATTGTTGGTGCTTCTGATTAAATATTTGACTCCCTCCATGTTCATGTCCCAGAAAGAAGAGAAAAGATGAGCTTCACCTCATTTCCTGCACATTTCCAGGTCTGACATAAACCTGACCCTGACGCATCTTGGTTCCTGAACTGTCAGATGTTTCCTGTGGTTTTGTTTGTTCTTTAATGTTCTTTATCAAACCTCTCAGGCCTGCAGAAAGTCAAACATTTGGGATTATGTTTTGGCAGAATGTGAAAAAGGTTTAGATTGTAAGGGGCTGTGATCTGATGCAAAATGAGCATCAGATCACCTCCTGTACTTGAATGAGCCTATTAGAGCTACAGGCTTTGTGAATAAGATGCTGAATAGAGCAAACACTGAAAATATGCAACTTTACTTATTCGTTGAGTTCATTATTATGATTATCGATTTTGCTTTGAGGAAACAAATAGCAGTTATGCTGTAAATTGGTCTGTTTTGAAAAAAAACAAGTAATAAATGTGTTGGCGATGGTATACGTTGTGATTTTCTGGGTTAAAATAAATAAAATTGACTTTGATGACTTAAAACATTGTGAGTGTTTGTGTGAGTAAAGGTCACAGCTACATTTTGACTGAAAATGATTGTGTGAAAGGACTGAATCAGGAACTGGCAGGCTTGAAGACGGTACAGTAGCCTGAAGCGGACATAATGATCCTCAGTCATAAATCTGCCATCAGGATTTACAGCTGCACAGAAAGCTGCAGGCTGCAGTGAGAAAAGGACCTGAACTTTCTTCCCACTCCTTCTCATCCTATTTCTCCTCAAATCCACAAAAACCAACGCCTGTATCGATCATCTGGCCTCAGAGGGCCAACAGGATGACGCTGGAGAGCAGTCCGTGTTTTCTGACCTGAATGACCCTGAGCAAAATCAAGTAATTGAATCGAAATGTTCTGTCATCAATCTCAGCCTGCTGGGCTGTTGCTGCTCCAAACAGCTGCAAAATGGAGGACAAGTAATGACTTCTCAAGGTACCGGAGGTTTATTAAAACATCCGTTATATATCAAGACAAAATTAATTCATATGGTGCTTAAATTGTTTCGTGGACAGACGCACAGGACTTTGCTTGTTTTTATTGTTTGTTTTGAGGCAAAAAAAAAGAAGCCAAGACAAAGTTTTTAATAATTTCTTTGTGACGTACATAATCTTCAACTGGTCAGAGTTGGGTTAGTGAAACAAATGATCCAAATATGTCTTCTTGCATGTTATTAACATTTAGTTTTGTATTTAATATCACTCACTTGCACTGGGTTCATTCACATTTTTGAGATTTTTTTTAAATGTTTTTTTTTTTTACATTTGAACATTTTTTACTGCTAGGTAAAAAACATTTATGGAATATGTCAGAACTGGACATTAATGGGATCTCATACTTGATTCTTGTGACCTTGTTGACTCTTTCCAACAAAATGTTTGATCGTTTCCTGTTCACTCTCCGATATCTTGGCAATGTCAAGAGTGCTGCATCCCTCTGAGAAGCTTTTGGTATTTCGTCACTTTTCAGAGTTAAATCTCTCTTTTGGCCCATTTTGTCTAGAAAAAAAAGCTTCATAATAATTATACACACTTTGGTATTTAACCTCCTTCTTTACACATAAACCTCTGCTATGATTAAATCCATCGAGAAGTCAAATGTCTTAGAAAATATGTCTAGAAATGGTGATATGGGGAAATACTCAGATGGGAAAAAACCTTCATACTTACAGTGCAAGTATGAAGGTCCTTGTTACACTCTGACCTTCAGCCAACATCATTTCTTACACTTATCCAGACCTACAGCTCCATCATTATGAGGGATGAATGTCAGCTTGGAAAACTGTTGCCTCCAGCTGAAACGGTGCAGTTTCATGTTTTAAGAAAAATAATGACTTGTCTACATCCAATCTAGTGTAGAATGTGCTGAGCCGAGAGCGAAGTGCGACTCCCATTTGTAACGGAGTGGCATTTAGAAACACATTTCTTACCCATTTAATGGAAACACTGTTGTTTTTAACCACATTCAATAAAATAGTCTAGTTTTACGACTGAGTAGAGATACAGAATCTTACAGGGTTTCTCTGACTGCTGCAGACGAAGTGCATGTTTCATATGTGGGTCATGTATGTACTGCTTTGCAAACAAAGAGGTTTAGCTGAAATGGGGTCCAATTAATTTGAGATTGCCTGCAATTTCCTACAATTACACAAGAAATAGAAAAATATACTCACAATTCTAGTGGCTGTACTTTACAGGAGGCAGATTTATTTGGTGAAGTTTGTCCATTTTGGGATTCAGTGTGTTCTGGAGGCTTATCAGAGGTATCGAGGCCACTCTGCAGTAAATAATCCAGCATTGCTTCTGCTTGCTGTAGCTCTTGTGCATTTGTAATGTGTGTGCTGATTCAGATAGGTTGTCAAGAGAGGTAAACTCAGATTTATCTAACCAGCAGGTTTGCTTGCGGAGCGCCACATAAGAATGGAAGCAAGGATGAAAACTAATGTGTGTACAGCTTCGTGTCTGTGTGAGTAAAGGATGATGTGATGAAATCAGTGATTCTTTTCCTGTTCCTACACAAGTCACTCTGCTGGCTTTAATTGTAGAAAATAGTTCAGACTGAGATCATCTTTGAAGAACCATGGATAATATTTAATTTCCCTTTGGGATCAATAAGGCATTTTTGACTTTGAATTGCATGAGTTAGGGTGAAGTTATGGTGACATGGAGGCATAGAACAGGTGCCACGCTGCATCTTCTCTAGAATAAATAAACAGGCTTGTAGATGCTCATATTATTGACTCCGGAAGGGAAATGCGCTGTGTCTTTGTTGAGTTGCATAAGCTAAAACATTCCTGGAGCAAAACACAACAAAAGCTGCAAACAGTTGCACAGCTGGAAGCACTCAAAGGTCTGAATGCTGCGAACCAAAAACTGCTAACTTAAATTTAATAAAAGGGGTAGATTGGATGTTTTGTGGCATTATCATTTATTTATTCTGCAGTAAACAGAAGTGATAGCAAGGAAAATAAATTATAATCCACAAACAGACGCATACATCTGGAAGGTATTCACAATCCTTCACTTTTTCCACATGGTCATGTTGAAATGTTTTATCAAGTGAATTGCTTTCTCCAAAATTCTAAACACAAAAACTCCATGATGTGGAAAAAGCTTTTTGAGATTTTTTGCAGGTTTATTCAAAATAGAAAACCATTAAATGTACATAAGTATTCACAGACTTTGCTTAATGCTTTGCTGATCTTTTTGAATATGATGCCACAAGGTTTGCTCTCTCAGTGAGAGACTTTCTGTATTTCTGCTGGTGGGCTGTCTTAATTACTGTTATAATTAGAGTGCTCAGACTTTAGGCGAGCTTGTCCAGTTAGTCTTTTTTTCCATTACGGTGCTCCTTTCTCTCATTGCTTCAAATTACACGCTCTGCCTGCACACCAATCTGGGCTGGTTGGACATGTTTTTATCAGCAGTAATAGTTTTCACTTCACCTGGACAAGCTTCAGACTGCAGAGCAACTCCAATCAGCTGCAGCCTTTGTTTCTAAATCACTTTTACTGCTGCTGTCCTGTGGTGATCCATGTGTGTCTTTGAGTCTTTCCGTGCACAAGAAAGAGAGAGACGCGGACAAGCTGTATGGATTTTTCAGATATTTGTTCTGTAAATGCTGTGTTTATTTTAATGCTCCCTATTTTTGTTATAGGAATGTAAACTTAAATGAGGCTTTATCCAGTTTAAGAGATTTTTTTTTCTGTTCTTCTAGTGCCACCTTGTGGAGAAAGTTAGTCGGTGTAGCTTCAGTTTAATTTCTCTTTTCTTCCCTCTTTTTAGATATGTTCATAGAGAATTTCCTTTGACTGAAGTTCAAATCAAATAACTTCCAAACACTCCCCTGATGTAAGTGTGTCTCACCTACTAACAATACAACAAACTTTATATGTCGCTCACTTTACATGATACGTTGTTTGTCTGCTTTCAGGTGTTAAGCTACTTTGTTGAACGTGAGTATCGCTTAGTAGCAACTAGGTCTGCACAATGTGACAATTTTCTGTAGGATCAGAAAACACATAAATTACAATTTCTGTTATTTTTGGCATTTGCAGGAATTCAGTCACAGTAAATTAGGTTTTTGAAATAAAGTAATTTTTATACCTAGTAATTTTGTGAACCCAGAAAAATAAAGACGTCATCAATCCGTGAATTTTGACTTGAAATGTTAGACCTCAATTTCTAAACAAATAACGATATAAAAAAGCTTTCAGTAAGGAAAAATTTATTCAGCTCAGTTTCTGTTTAATAAGTGCAGCCTTGATTTTTACAAAAACATGTGTTTAAAGAGAGCAAAACCAATAATACAATGATTTAAAGTGTGAACATTATGTCTTAGTATCTCACATAATTCAGGACTCCTCCTAGCTGCACAACATTCAAAACCAGAGGGAATAATTATCTAAACATGGAACGTCTCAAACAAAAAAACTGATGAACTATTATATTAATTCATTTGGACATTCATTCTTCTGTGTGTATGTAAATTACTGCACTGTGTAGCACATCATTAATTTAATTCCTAGGTGTGCAAACTTCCTGTTTGATGATTTCGGTTTCTGTGTCCAGAGTTTGATGGAGAGCTGGTCGGATGACAGCTGGAACTGTTGTCATAACTGGAGGAATACTGGCCACAGTGATACTGCTGTGTATCATCGCCGTGCTCTGCTACTGTAGACTCCAGGTATGATGTGGCCGGACGGGTTTCGCACAGTAAAGTTGTGGCACCACAACGGCTTTATAGAGGGAAAGACTTCAGGTTACAAACAAATACCAGTAAAAGCAATAGAAAACTAGCAAGTAAAGTTTCCTTTTTAGACTTTAGCCAATCATCTTATCTGCTTCATGGTCAATATTGTTTTTATTACTGAAAAGTGCATATATTATCATTTATGTTTCATTTTATAGATTAACTACACATACTGATATTGTCAAGCCTTTATTTATGTTACCATGTCTTTAATGCATGCCTAAACGTTGTTATTTTCAGAAGGTACTTTCAATCCGACAAGAGACTCACTGCGATGATTAATCTAATTTAGTAATTAAAACTGTATTTAGTACAGAAATATGTAAAAACAGACTTGCTTTCAAAGTGCAAAAAATAAAAATGTCAAATTGATGCCACTGATCTTTCAATGGCTGCTGGACTTACTACCACTTTCTGCATTCTTGTTGGTTGTGCAGGAGGCTCTACTTATGCTTTTCAGAGATGAATGGTTGTATAATGCTTGCAGTCATTCTCACATGCAAATGTAAATATTGAGTTGGGAGGCTTGCCAGCAGGAGCTTATTTGGATTTAAAGTGACAAGAATCGCTGAAACAGATCATTCTGAAAGGAGTTCAAAGTAGACAGAACTGAACATATTAGAATGTCATTATCTAAGAATATTTTTTTGTAAAACAAAAATACAGTTAACATGCTTTGTTTAGACCATAGACCTATTCTAACCTGTTCAAGAACCATAATAGATCACATTTAATCACCAAAGTTCTTTACTGATTTATGTTTTTTATCTCAAACTTCTTTGTTTATAGTACTACTGCTGTAAGAAGAATGGGTCTGACAATGGCTCCCTCTCTCAGCAACACTTTGCTTGCAACGCCTGCAGCATCACTGGCCTGGACGGACCAATCATCACCCCTCTGTCACTGTCGCCACCAGAGCCAGCCAAATCCTTTAACCCCACCAAACCTACCGTGGGGCAACACCGCTACTGTCCCACCTGCTCACCCTACGACTCTCCCTTCTACATCCGTACCACTGACGAGATACGCAACGGTGGAGAGCGCGTCACCTACATGCCGACACACTATGAGAACCAGGCGCTGGCAATGCCGCTGCCCGCTGTCCGAGGCCCCCTGCTGAGGGACAGCCAGCGCGGTCGCCCTCCTGATTTCTACACCAACACCCGAGCCATCAGCACCGAGGTGTGACCACCTCTACACACCAGCGCCACTGAAAAGACACAACCACTACTGTAGATTTTGGCTTCCAGTGAGTTTGTGGAGGAAACACATTTAGGGTCAATCTGGAAATAATTAAGGATTGCTTTAGCCGAAGCTGGAGATGAAAAATAAATTCCTCCTTAATTTCAAAAAACAACTGATCCGCTAAATGTCCAAACATGTACCTAGTGGAAGGGTACGCCTGCTGACTGTTACTGGATCGCTTTCCCCTGAGGAGTAACTAGATCCATGTACGACTTTCTTGTGCTCTGTATCTTCTTCCAAATTTTACTGTGATAAGATGTATGGATGAGTTTAAAACAGACTGAATCGTTTACCTTTTTTAAGTAGCTGACAAACAGAAACATTTGTGGATTTATGCAAGCATGAGGTGTGGCAGTGTGCAGCAGAGGACACCTGGATTTGAATCCTCTATGCAAGGTCTTCAGTCAGCATCATAGCTGTTCATTTCCAGGCGTCTCCTTTCAGCAGATTTTATGGTGAACAGGAGATCTGGGACATGTTGTTGACAACTGGTAATATGTAATGATTCTATACATGTAGATAGACATGAAAAACGTTTGATGGCGCTATATTATGCAACCTGTACTAAAGCGCTACTTTCTTGGTACTTACAGGTTAGTTTCCTGGAAAATAAAGGTTTTCTTTGGAACTTACTGGTTACTATCCCTGATCCTATAGCAAGTGGAGGAGTTAGAAGTTACTTTCCTGAAATATTCAGGAAGCTAATTATACTTTTCTGCAACCTGCTATGTACAAATGACTCTCATAAGAGTACTTTCTTTGTTCTGGGGAAGTAATCAGGACATTTCCTAAAGGATTTGGAACAGCCCCTGGTCAGTTTAAGTTTAGGAAACTTCCAGGAAAACACTTTGTATATTCTGAAAACTTACCACTAAGTTCCAGGAACATAGCTAGTATGTCCTGGGAAAGCAAACTGCAAAACCCAACAAAGTAACCAGCAAGTTCCAAAAACATTCGTCAAAAGGGATCTAATAAGTTCCTGAATGTGAATGGTGAAGTTAAAGAAAGGACCTGATAGATTCTGGGAAAGTAACAGGTAAGTTCTGGAAATTACCAAGTAAGTACCTGGTAAGTTATGGGAAACTTTCATGGAAATTACCTTGTAAGTTCCCAAAAAGGTTTATGTGAAAGTAACTGAAAACGTCAAGAAGGTTCCAGTAAGTATCAGGTATGTTTGTCGGAAAGTTCCCAAGACTAACTCCTAAGTTTGAGTACAGAAAGGGCTGCAGTGTGTAGTGTTACCAAATCTTTTAAAAAGAAAAGTTAAACATGGCGTTTGAATCCTTTCTTAACGTGTAGCTAAACATGGCAGAGCCTGAGCCCTCGATCTGCTTAAAATTACCCCAGTGACTTTCCCTCGTCTGAAAAGGATGCGAAAAAGTTATGTAAATATTTAAGCAATCTCTCAATCCCACCGTGTGAAAGACGGCGATGCAAGCAGGAATCTGAGGAATAAGGGGGTTTGATTTACTGGTTTATGGGATTTCCTCTACACTCCCATGATTATACTCATCTACTCTCATATCAGACAATTTGACTGAAAAAAATTAGATATACACCTTCTTTTTATTTACAATTTCCCATTGAAAATTACATTTTGTGTGATATTGGTCTTCTGTCTACAGCATGGCTGAAGATTTGGAGCAATAAACCTAAATAATTTGACAGGTGTGAATAAGAGTTAAGGCCTATTAGATGGGTCAGATGTTAAAAATGCAAATATAAGCTTCTGTAATCTCTTTTCAGCAGTGGTATAAATGAGATTTATCTCTCAGTGGTACTTTCTAAATGCTTATTTGTGAACTAAGGATGACCCATTTGAATCTTAGCTGGATTTCTCTGGATTTCAACCACAAAATAACTAAAATTACACCAAATGAAGTTCACTAATAAGCTATAATATTTCAGATCAAGGTGATTCTGTAAAATACGCTAACCCAGTGTGGATGTAATCTTGAACAGCTTCGATGTCCTTCATTTATTTATGTAGTGTAGCAACGATATATTTTAATGTTTATGTTATAATTAAAATACTAAAAAAAGTTTTTAAATGTGGTTTGAGAGAAAATTGTACATCATAACATTAAAAAATGAATATCTGATGTGATATTTTGACAATTAAATATTTCAAAGTCTATAAGTTGACTCTTCATTTTTGTATGTCTTGTACAGAAACATAGGTAATAAATACAACAATAAGTTTTCTTTTCTAATTAAGAAAATATCATTTCACCTTGACTGTAACACACCAATTCCTGAAGAAAACCAGTAGGAGCTTCACATTTATCTCACCTGGTTGGTATCACTTTCAGGGGCGGACACAGGGGGTGAAGGTTTGGGGGAGGGGGCTCGACAGTCAGCTGACTGGGTCTAATTAACACCCCTGACTGGTGCACAGGATCAAACATCATAGACTTTTTGAATGGTTGAAGTAGCACAACTCAGTAGTTAAGAGGTGAAAAGTGTACAGAAAAACTGGAGGAACTCCAGAAAGACATTTTCCTGCCAGACATCAATGCATCAAACCACAACAAGATGGGGGTCAAAGTGCATCCCATCGTCATGGCCCATTCATCACATCCACCAGGCAAAGATATAAATACAATCTGAAATCTATGAAATCCTCCTTTTCTTATGCAATTTTCTGAATTGCAATAGAAGCTTTTTATAGTTTATAGATTACAAATGTAAGTTCACGTTCCGATCCAGATATCTGTTCAAATGTCTTTGTTGGCTCTCCCTCTGTTTTCATCACCTGATTAATAAAAAGTCCTTCCACGTGGCTCGTCTCCATGACTACTCTGTGTTTGTGCATGCACGTGCACGTTGCGCATGCCTGCCTGAGCGCCACGCTTCTTCAGTCTTTAATTGTTTCCTCTGATGGATGGAGGGCTGCAGCAGCTGCTGCAGCTGCTGCTGCTGCTGCGGATGGCGCTCCAGCTCCAAGGGAGCAGAAATGCGCGTCAAGTGGGTCTGGCGCTGACAACCGCGGCGGAGCAGCTGCAGAGACACTGAGGCAGATCCACTCATGACTGGACTTCAACTCCACGAACAGGATGGTTCATCGCAATGAAAATGTATTTTCCTCGCTGTGGTCATTTTGACATTCTTACTTGGATAGTTTTTAGTTCTTCGCAGCTTCTGCTAGATGGTGAGTTAATCCTGCTCTCTTGATCGAGTTTCAGCTGTCATTAGTTGCATGTATTTTTATTTGTTGTCAGGCTTTACATTGATTTATGCTTCTGCTAATAAGATATTTTTATGACACAAAGACAGAGGTCAATCCCACCTGCATGATTTAAGATCGAGGAAATCTTGGCACAGGTGACAAAACCAAACTTTGACCTTGGTAAAATACATAAACAACTTTTAAACAAGCCAGTTATGCATGCAATATAAAGATATGAGCTTATAAATGAAATCACATTGTAAAATGTGACGTATACAGCTGTGGGAAAAAAAAAGTCAAGTGACCACTTAATATGATCAGTTTCTCTGATTTTATTTTTTTTATAGGTACATGTTTGAGTAAAATTAACAATGTTCTTTTATTCTGTGAACTACTGACAACATGTCTCTGAAATTACGAGCAAAAATTTTGTATTTATTTGCAGAAAATGAGAAATGGTCAAAATAAGATGCAGTGTTTTCAGACGTCAAATAATGCATATTCATTTACAAACAATAATATTAATGTTTTAACTCAGGAAGAGTTCAGAAATCTATATATATATATATATATATATATATATATATATATAATATAATATATAAATATATATATATATATATATATATATATATATATATATATATATATATATATATATATATATATATATATATATATATATATATAAAACTGCAGTCTACCTAACTGGAGTCACAACTTTAATCTTGTAATTTCTGAATATTGTCGTCCTGTTTCCTGTAATTCTATTCTTGTTTCATGCATTTGAACCAATTCATGGTTGGAATTTCAATTGCATGTCTGTCGGATGACATCATTAGCTGGATTGAGCTCTGTACAGTGTCTGCGCATTGAAAAGATGATGCAACAGTGAGGGGGCAGCAATGACCCTCAAAAAGATTCAGGAGACTGGGGAGAAGAGATTTCACAAAAAAAAGGGTTTCTCTTCATTGTTCCACTTCTCTTCTAAACATCCAATAAAAACCTGTTTTCTTATCTCCACTGAAACAGAGGCACACAGCAGCAAAGTGTATCGGCACAGAGGTGATCGGGTCCCCAACATGAGGACCTCTCCATAGGCCCAAACAAAGAGCCTCAGGGGCCATTTGCATATGAAGGAGTCCTTACACACTGCAGGAGGGAGGGGGGCTGTGTGCTCTGAATTTTACTGAGCTCTGTCTCAAAGCATCACTAGTTTCAGCTGAAAAATAAATCAGACATGCTCTATGACAATTACAGTTGAGCTATTTACTGTGTTTATAAGTAAAATGGACGTGTAATGAATGTACCAGCTGGTCCTTCTTGTTAATACAGATATGGTTAATTCATCAATCGCTAATATCAAACTCTGTAGATACAAATGTTGGCTTCTGGAGAAACCAGCTGGTTCTTTGTACAATTGATTGACCTCCATTAAAGACAGATGATTGCTCTCTGAGATGGAGAAGATGTCTCTCAGGGCTCTCAGACTGATTGCACTCTTGAAGGTTGATTACTTTGCATGATTATTGAAACATCTTAACAATTCATTCCCTCTAATACATTAGTAATTTTTCTTGCACTAGTCATGTAAATCACACTTTAGAAATGGTCTTTTCTCCTTTTGATATTCACGTGATACTTTGAGGGCATTTGGAAAGTACGGGCTGATTGTCACTTCAATACATCTGAAGACGAACCTTCCTTCAGATCTGTTTTCCTTTTCACTCGTTTTTTGGCCATGATTCTGAAAATAACATCTTCAGAATGATGTTTTGTTCGTTGCTGCTCTGGGAGAATGAACACATGTCTTTTTGTTCTTGTGAAGTATGCCTTTAGTCATGCAGTCAATAAATCCAGCAATTACAGCAAAGACCTGCAAGAATAAGCAGTATTGGTAAGACAACTAAAAGAAAACCTGTTTGTAATTAACCAAAAGCTAAAAGAGGACACAGCCACCATGTGGAAGAAGCAGCTTTGGGCAGATGAACCTTAAATTTACAGCAAAGATGAAGAGTTAAAGATGAATTTTCATTTTATGTAAAGTGCTCAGATAAAATAAACATTAGACCTATTGCAGCCTATTGAAAGAAACATAATGTCTTTAAGGAATTTGGATATTTTAGTGGTTCCACACTGGATTCAAATACTTGTGACTCAGAAAGAAAGTCTTTTAACATATCGCAGATATGGAGAAAATCTGAATCTTGTTACACCATCTTAGACAAAAAGGTTTCACTGGTTCTGTTTCTCTGATTGTGTAAATAAAAAAACGTAGAGCAGCTGGAGGGGAAGGAGTCGCCACAAGGTGCTGATCAACCAATCAGAAGCAGACTTTGGTCATGTTAATAAGTAATATGGATCCTACAATCTTTTCTTCTACCACAAGTTTTTTCTTTGGTTTCAGAAAAAACTTATATGGAAACAAACTCTCCTTTCCACTGAAATAAAAAGACAGGGATACAGTTTAAGTTTAAAACACTAAACAATATTTAAAGTTAACCAATTTGCGACTATTTTAAAAGCTTTTCTGGTTTCTAAAAAACTAACAAAAAGAAAAGAAGGTCTTTCATGCAGGAGCAGTTTGACACATATTGACAGAAACTCACAGGATCATAAATATTTGGAAGAGTTAGGACTCTGTCTGTGTGGTGTGACTAAATGATAGAATATTTTGAAGATACTTAATGAAAGCGGTCCTTGTTGTTGAGACATCAGATCAGTGTTCACTCTTTTTACAAAGGTGTGTGCTTTGCTAAATAAAAAATCATGGATGTGTTTCAGTAAAGGAAAAACATCTTCGAAGTTTGATGCTAAATAACACATCATGCTCCCAGGTGCGTCCCCAGACAAGCCGTCTCAGATTCCAGACCCCTGCCTCCAGAACCTGTGCCAAAATCAGGCAATATGCAGAACCCGTGGGAACGGCTACGCCTGCTTCTGCGTGCCAGGTTTCCAGGGCGCTCACTGCCAGATAGACGTGAACGAGTGCGCTTCACAGCCCTGCAGGAACGGAGCCACCTGTGTGGACGGAGTGGGTCGATTCTCCTGTTTGTGTCCTCCTGGATTCACAGGTGAGTGTTTGACGTTTTAAGCTAAATGTGTAGAAGTTTTATAGATGGCTTTATAATATATTTTTATGTTATTTTATGCTAACTTATAAGCATAAAATAAGTGCTAATAAGACAAAATGTCTGCATGAACAACATTTTATCACATCACAACCACAAACTTTAGGATTTTTTTGTGGAGATTTTGTATGACAGTAATTTATAAACTAAATCTCATATTATTATGTTATCAGGTTCTTATTCTGGCAATGTTAAGACATTATTCTTATATTATTACGTCTTTATTGTCCTACTACCATGACCTTATTCTGGTATTATTTTATTTAATTTATTCTTGTATTACTGTGATTTATTCTTGTAATAATATGAATTTATTCTCATATGAGTTTGACCTGTTCTCATAATAAAATAATAAACTAAGGTAGCCAGTTGAAGTATAGAAATACTTGCATTTTCTGCCTCTTACAGCTTCTCTGCTCTGCTCCTCCAGACTAGTGGCAGCAGCAATTAGCAAACAGCTTTTACTTGGGTTAGTCCAACACTCCTAAGAACAGTTTTAAAGACTTATAGGAGAAATGTTGTGACAATGTGCTGAACAAGTATCTGTTAGAGCAGGAGCTTCTTTAGAAAGACAAGGGCCCAGTTTGATTTCACATTAAAGATCAAATTTCTTTTAAATCCTATTTGATATGTACAGTATGACAAGTGAAGGTAGTGTAATTACTTGATGTGCTATAAAATGGCTTTATGTTCCTGGTAAATAGCAACTCTCGTGAAAAGGTAATCATTGGGATCCCCCTCATTTTTCTGCAGGAGACAACCCACATAGAGCTAGAATCCTGCATACAAAGCACGGTTTGTTTCCAAAGTTTAGACCAGCTGCAGAAAGGGAAGCGTTCCCGTGACATAAAAAAGAAACCCTCGATCACAGTCAGCCGAGCTGAAAGCTTTGCCTATTTTTCGCCCCCAGCCTGTGCAGCTGGGCTCACCTGGACTCTGACATCTGTGTGGCTTTGATGATGTTCACAGGAACCACTTGTGAGCTGCAGGTCGACCAGTGTCAGTCACAGCCTTGTCTTCACCACGGCACTTGTGTTAACCACGCCACAGGCTTTCGGTGCATCTGCCATGTTGGTTTCCAAGGAGACCGATGCGAAATCGACACAGACGATTGCCAGGAGCAGCCATGCCAAAACGGGGCTCTGTGTGTCGATGGGGTGAATGAGTAAGTATTTACGGATAAACGCCTGTTAATGCTGCCATTATGGAAACAGACGATAAAATACTGCTAGTTTATAAATTACTGACCAGCTTGGCACCAAAATGCATGAAAGATCTGCTGTTGTTGTATCAACCTTCCAGAACCTATTTCAGAACCAGAACCAAACACAGAGAAGCAGCAATCAGCTTCTATGCACCACAAATCTGGAACAAAATCCCAGAAAACTGCAAAACGGCTGAAACACTGAGTTCTTTTAAAAACACACCTGTTTAGAATAATTATCACTGAAACATTGACCAACATATTTGATGTGTATTGTTGATTTTGATAATGGCACTTGACAAAATGCAATATTTGTTTTTAAGAAAAATATTACCGATATATTCCTCATATATATCGGCAATATATGATTGTCTCAGATACAGCTGCGACTGCTCACACCCAGCATTCACTGGGCGGCACTGTGAGACGCTGCTGCCACAGTGCAACTCTGATCCCTGCTTCAACAGCGCCGTCTGTAGGGACGACCAGGGTAACTACACCTGTGAATGCTGGCCGGGTGAGAAAACTAATATTTTTTGTGCTCATGAAGTTTTGATCTCATCATAACTGCAGTCTGACTCCTCATTTCAGGGTTTGAGGGACGTAACTGTGAGATAGACATGAACGAGTGCAGCAGCAGTCCGTGCATGAACGGTGGCAGGTGCAGGGAGAGGTCATGGCAGGAGCTTTACGGCAGCGATCCTCTGCTGCCTGACCACTACGACCACAGATATGCTGCAGGCTACATCTGCATCTGTCCTCCAGGAACAGCAGGTAAACCAGGGCTGCAACTAACAATTATTTACACTAACAATAAATCACATTCTGCTGATTTTTCATGTAACAACTTCAGCTTATTTTGTATAATATTAGAAATGCATAAAAATACAAAGAAAGAACTCACTAAATTCCTTCTTCATAAAGATTTTTGCACAGAAAATGCAATAACATTCCTTTAGTGAAGGCTTCTTGATCATTTGTAGCAAACGATGCATCTGCAAGTGAAAAATCCTTCTTTCTGCTCGACTTGACATTAATTGGACAGCAAAAGGTGCTTAATAGGAAATATTTTACAAAACTTGGTCCAAGTGAAGAGAATTTCTGGGTATTAACAAAGAAGTTTTTTTTTTAATTTTAAATGCAGCATGTATATTTTTTGTGAAGTTTTGGAATAGAGATTTTTGTGGTTCTTTTAGCAAACGGATATTTTTTTGGGGTCTCTCTACACTCAAAGTGTCTATTTTCAACTAATATTTTGATAATGGCATCATGAAAGTTTGCCCTTTCAAAGAATTTTGTGCACATAACTGGAAGATATGTCAAAAATTCAAATAAAATAGCAACAAAACTTGTGCATTTTAACTTCAGCTCCTTCGTAGCAAAAGATACATTTTGAGTTGTGAAATGCTCACATTATAAGTGTCGGTCCCACTGTGAGCTGCTGCCGACTGATAATTGTGTTCTAAAAACTGACTCTCTGCTGGCGGCTCTGACTCAGTAAGGTGGCTAAACAGCATTAGCTTAATCCCCCGGGATCTGGCTTTGCTGGTCTCCTGACTGAACACATTCTCCTAGACATGCTTCAGAGCACACGGCTATACAAGCAGCAGAGCTTCGATGGGACGCAAACACAAACTAATATGAGGTCAAACAAGTTTGGTTCGGTTCTGGTTGCAAACGTGTCGGCATGATGTGGGCACCCGCATCATGGATTTTGTGGATTTTGCTGCTTGGGGCAGGTAAACTGGAGCTTGTATTTATATGAATAGATTTGATAATGCTGTTACAAAACAAGTCACCTGGTTCTTTCATCATTAATTACCGGTTAATTCAAACAGTTTAATGCTTCACTGATGTTTTACATTTTAAATTCTTTAATTTATACTAAATTAATTTACCAGTGATTTTCAAAAAATCTTTGTCAGATCTAAAAATGCCAAGTTAAGACATTCATGCAGAGATTTTGGAGGAAATAATTTGACCAGAATAACAGAATTATATATAATTACAGCAACAAAACACATAAAATATATATGTTTGTCATGGCAGAAGATTTTGTAACAACAGGAATATTTACATAATTTATATCTGAATTTATTGTTACATCAGAGAACAATATCTAGCTGTTTAATTGTTGCTCAACTCTGTAAAAACACCAAATTTGACTGAGTATTTTGGTCAAATTTGGTCTAGTTTCTTAAATAAATATAGATTTTCACTATAGATTAGAACATTTGCTGATTATTTTTACTTATAACATGGATAACAAGTTTTGTAAAAAGTGAAAAACTTGCCAGTGGAACTAATACTTTTTATCTATATTCAAGAATTATTGACGTAAAACAATATCTTGCATCTTACTGAAAGGTTACATAAGTTAGTTTAGTCTTATTTTAAGGTTAAGATATTTACAGTAGAAACTAGACAAAAGTATTTGGTAAGATTTGGTGTTTTTGCAGCATAGAGACTTTTCTGAAAGTTTCTGCTTCTGTATCTTCTGTCTACAGGTTCCCACTGCCAGGAAGTGGGGAACCAGTGCGAGTCCGGTCCCTGCCAAAATGGGGGCCGATGTGAGAGCCTCGATGGGGGCTTCACCTGCCAGTGCCTCAAACAGGCGCATGACGGCGTTCTCTACGGAGGTACGAACTGCGATGTGAAGTTAGTCGGCTGTGAAGGTCACGAGTGCCAGAATGGAGCCTCCTGCTCTCCGTTCCTGCTGGACGGGACTCACGGTTACACCTGCTCCTGCACGCCAGGATACACCGGACCGCTCTGCAACACCCCGACCACGTTTTCCTTTGAGCGCAGAGGTTACCTGTTGCTTCACAACCCCCTGGTGAACGCTGATCTGACCACCAACATCACACTGAGCTTCAAGACTGTTCTGCCATCTGCCATGTTGTTCCAGAGGAACATCAGGGGGATGGTGCTGCAGCTTCAGCTGGACAGGGGAGAGCTGTTTCTGATGCTGTGGAGCGAGAAATCTGTTGGGTCTGATGGAGCGAACCATACTCTGGAGCTTCCACATAACGTCATGGATGGAGAGTGGCACACTGTGGAGGTTGTGTTCACAAACGAGATCCTGAGCCTTAGATTATTCGATGACACTGGAAGCTATGGGAGCCAGTCGTATCACATGTTGACCCCAGTCCAGACCAACCTGACAGAGCTTGAGACTTCCTCTCAGGACACATTTATAGGGGGGGGCCTCAAAAACCCAAGTTGGTTCAGTAGTCAGCCTAGTTTGCCCGTGTTCATTGGGTGCATGCGCGACGTGTTTGTGGACTGGCAGCTCGTTGTTCCAGAGGAATGGCTGAGCGACTCTGCGGTTAACGTGTCGCCCGGCTGCAGCCACAGGGACCGCTGCCGGGACGAGCCGTGCCAAAACGGAGGCCGGTGTGTGAACCTGTGGCAGAGCTACCAGTGCCAGTGCACAAGGCCTTACGAGGGGCACGACTGTGAGGAGGGTAAGTTCACAACAGGAAAAAAGAAGAAAATTGTTCTTCTTTTTTATATATCAATGCACCTTTTAGTTTGTGTTCCCTTTAAAACATTTGAAGGGAACATATAATTCAAAATTCACTTTTTGCATATTCTTATACTAACGTTTGGGCCTCAACTCCTTTTGCAAAGAAACAATGCGGCCAAAAAACAAACAAACACTCAGCTGTTTTTGCTAATATGCTAATTTTCTTTTGGTGTCTGAAAAACGAGCTGCTTAAAAAACCTCCTAAATGTTAGGTGACAGTCATTGGCCACTACAACATGACCTAGTAATCCCAGCAGAGGCCAGCCCAATCGGGTTGCTTGGGGACGGAGCTCACTTGGCCAGCTGATTTTAACGGTTTACAATGGCTGCTGGAAAAGACACACATTTGTTGTTCACTTACTATCCAGAAACTACTTGCTGCATTATTGTTGTTTGAGCAGGAGGCTCCACTTCTGCTTTTCAAACATGTCAATATGTATAATTGCACATCTGTTTCTCGCCATTTTGTCTAAACATTAAGTTGGGGGGAGGTGTTGCCAGCAACTTATTTAAATGTAAACTGAAAGAGACTCTAAAACAGTTCAATCTAAAAAGAGATCAATATAGGCTAAACTGATTAGGCTAAAGTATTACCATATAAGAAAGATTTTGTTCAAAATATGTAAAGAACATGTTTTGTGTAGCCCGCAGACCTAATAGCTCATCTTTAAACTGATATTAGTTTCCAGACCAGAATAATTAGAAATGGAGGACAAACAGTTACATCACAGGCTCCAAATTTCATAAATGGGTAATTAAATAACTTCCTTAGCTGCTTTTGTGTAACAGAAATAGCCAGAGACAAGTCCAATCAAAAGCCAGAATAAAGAGGCCCGGGCAGAGATCCTCTTATCCGATGTAGCGGATTAAGGATACAAAGGATCCTATTTAGGAAATGTCGCATGTTTTTTTTTTTAAGTTTCACAAACTTAAAACAGCAGAAAGAGAATCACACTCATTTCAGATTTATGTGTCAGATTATTCTTTAATTTCGGTGTAAAATGGAAAGCACTCCGTTTTCCCCTTTAGAATCCCTTGTTTGCTGACACAAACACATTTCTGCAAGTCTACAAATTTTGACACATCAACATGGAAACGTTTTGAAGTTTACGTAAGGTTTCATGTGACGCGCTCTCCCGGCCTGAGCCTGTTTTTTTTCCTTCGTGGTTTCACTATCTAGTAAGATGACCGACCCACAGTGGAAAGTGCTGACAGCTGACAGAACACGGTTCAATGAGGGCCACCGTGAACTTTCCTCTTTTTGAGACTGAACTCCAACATTTCTGCAGAAACTCTAAACCAGTACAGATCTTTTTAAAAATACAGTAAGTTTAGTGAGGTATTAATTTTCATTTTGTCATGTTCCAAACACAAACTTACATGTTATTCTTTTAGATTGGTCTTTTTAGAGTTTGTATTCTCCAGTTAACGATTAATCAATTACTAAATTAGATGACTTGATTGTTTCAATAATCAAGTCATCATGATTAATACAAACAATCGTTTCAGCTTTGATCTGGTTATTATGTTTAGAGTTATACTGCTAATCAGTTCAATTTCAGCCTGATTCAAATCTATAAGATTATTTTCTCATTTAATAAATTTGGGCTTTTTTGTGTCTGAGCATCATATGAGAACACATAATCTGGATGATAATGTCCTCCAGACTAAAAATGGACTATCTTTTTTGCAGAACATGTTACTGCTCGCTTTGGGAATGAGGACTCTCACAGTTTTGCGGCCTTCGCCATCAACGACGATCTGGGTCGGAACCTCTCCGTCTCTCTGTTCCTGCGCACGCGGCGGCAGAACGGACTCCTGCTGGTGCTCTCCAACAGCAGCAGCAGCCCATACCTGCACATGTGGTTGGAGAGCGGCAGGGTCAAAGTTCGTCTCCGTAGCTCTGAGAGCGTGAAGGCAGAAAGAGCCGTTCATGATGGAGAGGTCCACTTTGTAAGTGTAGAGGTTCTGGATGGTCGCATGTCGCTGTATGTAGCGGGGCAGAAACAGGACGATGTGGAGGGAAGGACTGTAGACGTCAGTGCAGGTGATGTCGTTTTTGTTGGAGGTCTGCCGGAGAAGAGAAGCACTTCAGAGTTTGGTGGATTTTTCAAAGGCTGCATCCAGGATTTGAGGATCGGCGACACGAGGCTGCAGTTCTTCGGGCCGGACACTTCGCTGACATCATATCCTCTTCAGCAAATAGAACATGTGATTCAGGGCTGCCCTGGAGACAACGCCTGCACTGTAAGCAAACACACCGATAGCTGCACAAATACATGCTGGAGTTACATGTTGTGTAACACCTGAAAATTGCACATGTAAAGCTTATTTTTATGAAATAAGTCAGAACCAAAGAGAAAGGGGCTGCTGTAATTAAAGAGTTAAAACTTGGAGCACAAATATTAGAGGAGCAAATATTTCTAAAACAATGTGATGTGGAAATACAGTGGGTGCTGAAATTGATGGAGAAAAATGCTGAAAAAGTTCAAATGGAAGTAGAGCAACCATTTGATCTGATCAAGAGCTGAAGCATCAGCAGGTCACAGAGAAACATCCAACAAAAATCCAGCAAAAGAGAAGAGCATGTTAGTTAAACAATATAACGGATAAAAACAGGAACGTCGGGGGGAGCAGGGCCTTAAATCTTAGCGTCTGTAGCTCAAGACAGTGACACTGAAAGCCGCGCTTTATGAAAGACGGAATATTTTTCTGCACTTTGATGTGTGAGCAGTTTCTTTATTGTTGATGTAGCTGGAAGGATTTTTTGGGAAAATCTGAGAATCGTACAACATTTGCATATCAGTGGAGTTTATGTTGTCGTCAGCTTTGGCAGGAAACATAATTACTTATTCATAAATATCCTAAAACTTCAACTGTGATTTTATGAAATATAAATGATAAAAAACTGAACCAACAGGCCAAAACTCTGGCAAACCAAAACACTTTAGTTTGAAGGACAGATAATAATGCAGCTTATGTTTGTTTCTCATTCACAGAGAAATCCATGTTTAAATGGGGGCATTTGCTTCTCTGGTTGGGACGACTTCACCTGCACCTGCCCCGCCAGCACAGCAGGGCGGCACTGTGACGAGGTAAAGTGGTGTGAGCTGTCCCCATGCCCCGCACCTGCCGAGTGCAAGATGCTGCAGGAGGGATATGAATGTAAGTGACTCCAGTTTACCTGCACAGCTGAAATCGCTTAAAATGAACAAGGAAATAAGTGTCATCTAAAACAGAAAATACTCCAATACGAGGTGAATGTTCTGCCTATTATCTAATTATGTCCCTTGTTTTAGGATTTACCAGTTACATTCTCAACTTGTCTCTATGTGACTGAATGTCACAGCAGTTTTATTTAGATTCTGGCCTCAATCTTTGCTCACGACATTCAGTATCTGATCCGTAAAGCAGGACTGATCCAAAGCTACTTTATCCTTTTCTCAAAGGGATTAGTGATGACTCTCTGTCTTTTAAGGAACCCTTTTCCACTGACACGCTCATTTCTCCGTCTTTACACTGAGCTTTAGGTCTAGTTTCTAGTGCAAATATCTTAGTGTACTTTAAATAGGACAAGTGTCTTTTCAGCAAGAAAGAAGCTTGTTGCAAATCAATAATTCCTTCATATTGATGAAACATAGTTCATCACAATGACAGATTACTTCACATATAAATTAGGAAAATGTGCTGCTATACCAGAAATAATTTGCCAGTGGAACCAGTACTTTTATTAAATCAATATTAAAGAATTATTGACTTAAGACAATATGGTATAGCTAATGTAACTAAATAGTTATATTAGAAACCTGACAAAAATTCTTGGTAAGATTTTGTGTTTTTGCAGTGGATTAGTTTTATTATCTGCTTAAACTTGTGTAGTAAAATTGGGCAAAGTTATTTATTAGGTTGAAGCTACTTGATTTAAGAATGATTAAATCATTTCATGTTGATGAAAACAAAATAAAACTCAAACCTGACTGGAAACTCTGTTTGTTTTGCTCTCTGTTGGCACAAACAGTAACTGAATTGGTTTTCTACTTGCAAATGAAGCTTTATAACATTGTTAAATTAAGGGTTTGTGACTTTATCATTTCTGTTAAGCTAGCTAGAAGAAAATTAGCCAGGTAAACCACAGCCTCTTGTCCTAATTTTTGCTGCCTACAAAAGGATTTGGAGCCTCGGCTAATGAGAAGCGATTTCTTGCTGGAACAAAGACTCTGTTGAGGTTTTAAATTTTACCCAGTGGCTAACATGTGGCCGTGATGTGCTCCATGGTTTCAGCTGCAGCATTTGGCATCAGCTGCAGATTGACCAGACCTGTGAAAACACTGCTGCAGTGATTAATACGACTAGAGATAAACCCCTGGATGAGTTTCTCTGGATCTTGCTGGGACTTTAGTCCCTTAATCCTGGAAATGTTCTTCATGTGACAAGAAAACATGCAGACAGTCATGGCCCTGGTGGATTTTTCTTCAGATGGAACTTTTAGTCAGTGTCTGCTAGAAAGTTTTAGATTTGATAAGTGCAGATTGTCCCTGTTATTCCTCCAGGTTACTCCAATGCAACTTTCCTGAACGACAGCACTGTGATGACCTTTCGGGGAAACGGCCACATATTCCGAAACATCACCAGCCTGTCTCTAAACCTCCGCACACGGAGGCGCAACGCAGCCATCCTGCATGCGGAGAAAGGCTCCTCCTTCATCACGGTTTCTGTTCAGGATGGTCTCCTCTTCATGGAGCTCCAGAGCCCCTTTGGTGGCCTCAGCGGCTCAGAGGAGGAGAAAGAGGAGAAATCAGAGGAGAGGCTGTTGACGGTGAGCCTCGGCAGCAGGAGGAGCATCACTGACGGCGAGTGGCACGCCGTCCATCTGTTCATGACGGCGCCGTGGGCTCAGTCCTCTCGCTGGACTTTGGTTCTGGATAATGAGCTAGAGGAAGCCAGCTTCTCCAGGAGCCAGGGCAGCAACCTGAACTTCCTCAGGGACGGGGCGGACGTCTACCTGGGTGGCCTGGCTCCGTTCACTGGCTGGTCCCTGACCGGCTGTCTGGGAACAGTGGAGCTGGGCGGCATCGCTCTGCCTTACTTCAGCTCCTCGGAGGTGAACCTGCCGCGCCTGCAGGTCGAGCAGTTCGTCCAAAAATCCCCGAACCCGGCGCTGCCCGGCTGCAGAGGCACCCCGGTGTGCGAGCCCAGCCCCTGTCTCAACGGCGGCCAGTGCCAGGACCTGTTCAACACCTACAACTGCACTTGTGCTGAGGGCTGGGCCGGCAGACGCTGCGACGTCCTGATAGACACCTGCGCTTCGAACCCTTGTCTCCATGGCAACTGTAGCATCAACGGGCTCAGCTACAAGTGCACCTGTGAGTTCGGGTTCACAGGTGTGCACTGTGAGGAGCAGGTGGATGTGTGTAGGAACCACCTGTGTGCCAATGGAGCCACCTGCCTCCATGGGCCGGATAAGTACGCCTGCCTCTGTGCCGAGAACTACACCGGACCGCTCTGCAGGTGAGTCCAGGTGCTTTTACGCAGACAGAGCACTGAAAGGACACAAACTGACCAAGGAGTTTTGGTAGTTTTTAGTTCAAATACACTTAAAATAAGACAAAACCAGCTCACAAATAGCTTCAGAGCAAGATGTAGGAGCTTGTTTTTAGTAAATAACGCCCTAATATTGAGTCAGTTTTGTCTTTTTTTAAGTGTATTTGCACAAAAACACTAGGTAAGATTTTATCTCTTTCCAGATTAGTGCACAGCGTATAGGGCAATAAGTCAGTAACAGTATCTACTGTGATAGAAACATGATCAATATCAATCGAGAAAAAGTCTGCTAGAATATTCAATCATTTCACTGGATTCCTATCCAGAACCGCACAGCATTCTGGGGGATGTAGGCAGAGGAAAGGCTTTCGTCACTGAACCTCTAATGACGTTAATCAAGTTTAACAACCTGTTGAGTAACTTTGCTGTGGTGCCTCAAAACAGTTTAAAAATAAAAAAAAACAAATAAAAAGATTAGGATAAAACAGGAAAGATCGCACCACCAGATATTTAAACCAAAAAAAAAAAGAATCAATAATTATTATAAAGCAGGAAATCATCCCAAATGGTTTAAAGACAGTAATCTTAATGTATGCCAACTTCTGACTTTAGAGAATGTAATAAAACATTTCTCTACAACATGTCTTACTCATTATTTGATATTTAAAACTGATTTTATTTGTGTGTTAATTCTTACTGACCTAAAACAAGAACTGTTTTCTTTTTATTGACAAAAATGTAACGGGTTTCTTCAAACTGGGTATGTAAACATGTGGTTTCTACTCTATTTTTCCTGGATGTAAAAAAGCTGAAAAATGTGGATTTTAAGATAACAAACGTCTCCCTTTCAAGATATTCTCAATGCTCCAAAAGTGTAGTAAAAAACAGAACTAAAACCTTATTTAGCAAGCACAAAATACACAAATAAATGCTCCAAAATCGCACACAGCCGAGGGAGAGCAGCACAACACAAAAACAAAATCCTTCACTGTAAATGTCTCCATGTCTCTGCCTCTGTTCAGCACTTCAACCACAGTTGCAGTAAGCGTCTCAGAAGCTGCGTTTCTATTCTAGTGTCAGCCAGAAAAGGCCTCAGTCTCTCTGGTTCGGCGCCAGTTTCTCTCCCTTGTCATCTACGGTTTGCCTCTGAGAACCAGCGGGGGGAACGCCTCCAAACATTTATCCCGTAAACACACAGCCTCCTGCCTTTTTGCCTCTTTCGCACGGGTAAAATCTTTGCAAGTGTCTCGCAAAGAAAGCAGCCGGCGAAGCGATCTCCCTTTACTGGGAACATCTCCGCTGTATAGTTTTCATCAAAATGACTTTGCTTTGTTTTTCTCACTTGTTTGTGCTGCTTTCTTCCTCCTTTCAATTTTTTCCCCCTTTCTGTTGCTCTGCAGCGAACGCGTGGAAGAACTTCCTTGGTACATCGTTGTCAGAAAAATGTGAGTTTTGTTTTTCTTTATTCATTTCTCCTGCATTCCCAGGTGTTTGTTTCCTGTTAGATACTTGTCTCTCACGTCATGCACAGCGCATCCTGTTCTTTTGTCGAGTCGTGTGCAACAAAATGCCAAGAAAAGCAAATATTAACACTCCCTCTGACGATGTTTGTTGTCAAAATGAGCCAACCAGTCTTTCAAATGAGTGACAGCTGTTGTTCAAAACATTCCCAACCATTCAAACGGAAGACTCCCCAAACAAAAATGTACCTTTTCAGAGATAAGTGCCTATTTTTACATCCACTGAGGACTGACTTTCACGTTGCTACAGAAGGTTGTAGAGAGATTGTTTGCTGCTGATTCCTGCACTTTGACAGTTTGCTGGCCAATAATCTCACTTTGCTGCATTTATTTTCTCTTTTGGGAAACAGCAGGAGGCCGAAAAATCATCCAGAATAATGCAACTCCTAGTTTAAATACGGGAATCCTGCAAAGTCTTGAAAAGTCTGGAATTTGCATTTATATATCACTTTTTACAAATAAGTATTGAGAAATAAAATTGAGTATTGAAAACATTTTGATATTTACATATTTACATTATCCACATTTTCTTAAAAGATCCTAGTTTCTAAAACGTGTTTCTATTGTTTTGTATTTATAGGTTTGACTTATTTCTGATGTGCAAAATCATAACTTTACTAACATCTTAGCAGTCAGTCTGACTCCTAAACTGAATCTGTCATACAAATGTAAAAAAAAGCATACAATTTTCTATTTTTAGGAATACATTCTGTAAGATTTTACATTTTAAAGCTGAACTCAGCTTTTCTTGTCCAGATGGCAAAAATAGGAGCAGAAGAGCCATTTACTCACAATTTGTGTTGTTTTATTGTTTCCACTTTTAAGGTAAATGTTTTGCATTCAAATATTCAGACTATTCATGGAAATTGTTCTAAAACTGAATGCATTACATTTATGGAAGTTTAAAATGTGCTGAGGCTCTAGAAACATGTGTCTCTCCTCTGGTTTTTCTCTTAGCACGCCCAAGCTGCCTGTTTCTGTGTGTGGTGACGAAGTCAGGAATTATACCTGCTTCAACGGAGGGAACTGCACTGACCGGGAACTCTCCTGCGACTGTCCTGCAGGATTCGTTGGACACAGGTAGGATAGAGTCACTCCTTTCATTCATCCGTTGTCGTCTGACCATTTGAGATCGGGTCAAGCATGTGAAAGGTAAATATTAATCCCACAGTGAGTTCTGGGTTTGCCCTGCAGTCTTTTCTCAGCGGGGTTCTTGTGTAGGTGTGGATCATTTTTCACACTGGAAAAAACAACAGTGATAAAAATGTAAATGTGTTAAAACATTAACAGATACAAAATAAGCATAATTTAAAGATATGGAACAAATTTAAACTTGTAAGACAACAAGAAACACAAAGGATGTTGTACTAAAGAGACAAAAAGCAAGCTAAGCTTTCACTGCTTAACAGCATCACTGTTTATAAATCTCTCTGCAAAACGAGAAACAGCATAAAACTTTATTAAGATCTGATTACAGAAGAGTCCCAAGAAAATAATAATAATGTCATCTAACAAAAACTAAATTTGTCATTAAAAACAAAAGAGATCCTAAGAAAGAGCTCTGTGGAACACCAGAGAAACTGACTCAAAGAAAGTCTTTCATGTGTTTCATTATGGTTTTTTTTAGAAGTAAGCTTTGGTCATGTAATTTGTTAGCAAAACTAAAACAAGATCAGCAGAAGACAGCAAAAATTAACCAAAAAGCACATATGGTGTCTGTTTAGTTTCATTTTCTGCTGCCATCTAAATAACTTATTTATGAAGAAAAACGTGTATATAAATACAGATTGTACACTGTTTTATGTTGTCGCGTGTCTTCAGGTGTGAGCAGGATGTGGACGAGTGCAAATCCAACCCGTGTCTGAACGGCGGCTACTGCAGAAACCTGGTCAACAGGTTCGTCTGCGTGTGCGACATGAGCTTCGCTGGAGACGTGTGCCAGACGGACGTAAGCGACATTTACTTTTATGTGGCGATTCTCCTGTGGCAGAACCTCTTCCAGCTGCTGTCCTACCTCATCCTCAGGCTGGACGACGGGCCAGAGGTGGACTGGGGAGCAAACGACTGAGTTTGTGTGGGTGTGGAAGGGCTGTGAATATCTTTGAGACGCTTTAGGAAAATGTCTGCATTTGAATGAGCAGCTGTCAGGTTGCACGGGATGAGAATGGACATTTATTCTGGCTAGTACTGAGAAAGATCATAGGGACTTCTGTGGTTTGATTTCAGGGACTACAGAGTGATTCTGTGCCTTTCAGATCAGTAGCACTTTATTTATAGTCAGTGTTTATAAAACGTGTTTCGTTTGGTTGAGCACACATGTCCTGATTCACAGACACTGTTTTGCATCTGCGCCTCCATTTCAGTGTCTAAATCCCAAAGCAAGTAGCACTAATGAGACACTGAAGGTAAAACTTCTGCCCTCCTTCTTGGTCAGGATGCAGTCGCTCAATAAAGATCAGTTAAGTCAAATCTTAAATTGATCAGAAAATTACGCAATTATTTGGGAATGTCTTTATAAATTACAAAATTAGTTTGCAACAATTTCAGGTTCTCCTCACTCGTCTTATGAATTATTAAAAAAATGCAGGACAGAAAATGAGCGCTCCATTTCCCCTAAAGGCCTGCAAAACGCCAGCTGCAGATATTGTTTTGCAGAAGTTTTGTGAATTAGATGCAAAAGAAAGGCAGTGCTTTAGTGAATCAGGCCCTCTGTGTGCAGCTGGATCACTGGTTGATGTTTTTCAGTGTCAGTAATTAGAATGTTGTGAAATTCTTTAAGTAGACAAATATGAGCAAAATTTGAAAGGAATAAATCAAAGGTTTGCACAGTTGGTACAGTTTGATTTGCAATCTTCAAAAAGTAATGCAAGCCAAGATTCCAGGCTTCACCATGAACCAAGTTGTTTAAAGATGCTATGCAGTGGTGAATTTTGTTTTCAGTAATGTTCAGTCGTAATGAAAACATGGCTGAGAATAAATGATGGTTTACTGCAAAAGGATTTAACAAGATTTAAACTGTAAAGGTGGGCAGAACTGAAAAAAACCCAAACAAATCATTTAGATTTCTGTGTATTTGAGTTGATGACGTCACAGGAGGCTCAAGCATTGAGATGTTCAGCAGGGATTAATTAATTTCTACTTTTGAATGTGGAGTTTGATTAAAAACTTGTAAATAAAAAGGGAACAAAAACAAGGAGGAAAATACAGTCTTAAAGCTTTAAAACAAAAAAACTGACCACTTCTTATTCTGTAGGAGTCAAACTGTATAATGACCTTCAGGAGGCGGTAACTTAGAGAAACTAACAAAAGTGGCAAAGAATATTTGTTGCAATATTTGAGGATTTCAAATTAGAAATAATCGTTCACTTTGTTAATGATCACCTTGAACTTTCGGGCAATCTGTTTTCCGTCTGTCCAATGGCGTAAAAGTCTAAGTTACGATGTCGTAAAGAGAAGCACGCTCTGCATTTAGAAAGTAAGTTTTCAGGGAGCTGAGGGATAATATAAAATTCCAGTTATTTATACGATTCCCACTACCTGATAACCTGCCAGTCTCGTCTGAACTCTGGGGTTTGGAAGTTGTGTGCGGATGAATTTGTGAACTCTGGAAAACAGAGCTGTAGCTACAAAAGCTCCTGGAGGGCCCCGGATGTCTCGCTTGTTCTTGATGTGCGTTCAGAGCAGCTCGTGACTGGCTGCTGATTGTTGTTTGGCACCAAAGAAGAAGTTTTCTGCATCTAAACCTTTTTGTCTGAGCCAAAGATATTTTGAGCCCTAAATTCTCGGCGGCTTTTCTTCAGCCGTACGTTTAGAAGTGTGACTGCGCGGCTGTGGTCAGCGCTGAAGCAAACATGAATGTTTTTCATGGTAGATTTCACTTGTGGTTTGAATTTTAGAACATCACCAGGGTATGCGTGTAATGTCATGTTCGTCAATCATATTCTGTCTGTGTGTCTCGTCTTTATCCATCTTCTGTGTTGTTTAATAAAACAAAATCAAGAAAAATTGTTTTCTGTCCTCTTTTAATGTCTCTTCACTCATTTTTCTGTAGTCACTTGTATCATTTATTTTTCTGCATTTTCAAAACAATCTGTGATAAACATCAAAATCAGCTCATTGATTTTCTTCCTGTTAGCCACTGTGCGTGTGTGTGTGTGCGTGTGTGTGTGTGTGTGTGTGTGTGTGTGTGTGTGTGTGTGTGTGTGTGTGTTTACTGTTCTCAGGTGTACACCATGACATCAAAGATAGACAGTTAATCCGTTTTAACAGGATGTTGATCCCAAAATAGCGAGGGGTTCAGATGCACACTGCCGACACGCACAGCACACAGTCAGGAAAGAGTTTATCTCTTCTCTGTGTGACATTACAGCCACAAACTTGAGCGCATTTGATATTTTCTAGGTAAGAACTGAAAATAGGAATTTTAAGAAAAATTACATGTAGTTTTCAACACTTTTCTACAAATAAAGATCTGAAAAGTGACGCACAAATCCAACACCTGTGAGTGACTGAATTAGAAAAAAGGCTCCACCTTCATTCAGTGACTCATGTTTAGTGTGATTCCATCTGTTTTGTGTTATAAGTCATAAAAAAATCATGTTTGCACTTTTCACAATCAATGGAGGCTGAAACCATGAGAGAGACGCCGACGAACTGATCAAAACTGATCCTCTTATATTTAGAAATGACATCATCAGATGGACCAAAACAAAGTTGTTTGGACATTTTGGTATCTTATAGACCAAAATAATTATAAATAGTATAAATGACATAATCACAAATTAACAAAATCAGGCAAAAGAAATATTTTTCAGTTTGTTTCACTGCAGGTGTGTGTCTGCATCTGGTGGAGTTTGTTCTTCATTCAATAGGAAGACAATCCGGAAATTTTTACTGATGTAAGAGTAGTGGTACTTCAAAATGAAACTACTCAAGTAAAAAGTACTTGAGTAGTAAAAATTCTGTTGGATGTGTCTAAACTTTGGGACAATCATAACGAAACAGGCTTTTGGAAGTTCATCTTCCTGCAGGACGACGACCCGAAACATTCAGAGGTAAAATGAAACGGCTGAGATAAAGACCATGAAGGTCCTCAAAGGGCCGCTTGTGGAAGAACCCATAAACAAACCGCTTAAATGTAAATAAATAGCCGTCTCTGTACTCTTTAGTACTTCTTAGAGTTAGATAATATTGAACATCTTTTTACATTGATGAAATTTGGCAGAATACAGATAAAGAAAATATTTAAGCACACGACTGTTATCTTGAGGGTCCTATTTATGAGACCCTCTGGAGTCTAGAGGGCCACATAAAAAGTTATGACTGGCCGGATTTGGCCCCCGGGCCTTGAGTTTAACACGCGGTTTAGATTAGAGAATGGCCCAGTCAAAGTCCACATCTAACACCAACTAAGAATCTGTGAGAAGTGATGAAACACACAAACTTGTTGATGTGCCTAATGACAAACTTTTAGTGCTTTTAATAAATAGGTGGAGAAGTTTTCAGTATTTAAATTGCTATTCGCCAATCAGGATCCAATAAGGTTCCTATTTCTGGCTGATTGATTAGTAAACCTGATTGGGACAAGAGAAAATGCTTCTTTAGCCCAGTTCACACATTTACACAGACTTTTTGAGCGTAAAGTGCACCAATAGTGGCTCGAATTTCTTTTTAACCTGCAAGCTTCATCATGTCGTTGCAGCATTTTTTTTTAAGTTGAGGCGTGTGTGTGTGTGTGTGTGTGTGCGTGTGTGTGTGTGTGTGTGTGTGTGTGTGTGTGTGTGTGTGTGTGCGTCTGTGTGTCCTTTGGAGGCACAGGTAGCCCTGATGGTGGGGAAGTAGAGCGGGGAGGAAACGAGAGAAGTGGTTTTTCACTGTTGGCACTGACGTGGCCATCCTTTGAGAGCAAAAGAAGCGGAGAAGAAGAAATGTGCTTTGCCAGCAAAAAAAAAAAAAAAAAAAAAAAAAAAAGAGAAAGATAGAGATAGAGATAGAGGGGGAAAAGGGAAAACGCAGCATCTGGTGCTGAAGTGCAGTTTCAGCAGAGAGCTGGTGGCATTCACAGAAGTTCGGTCTGCTTCACAGGAACGTATGAGGGCAGCTTATCTGGCAGGCACACACACACACACACACACACACACACACACACACACACACACACGCACACACACACACACGCACACACACACACAGAGCAGGTTGATAGTGCTGACAGCAGGGAAGCATCGCTGCCATCTCTGCTGTGTGTGGAGCAGCTCTGCAGAGGCTTCAGGGTGGCCTCGCTCTGCACCTCAGAGACTGGTTAGTTAGACATCTCTGTGTCTGCGTCTGAGCCACTCGGTGACTGATGGCAGGTCCTGGCTGCAGGCTGCTCCGGCTCGCTTGTGTCACACTCGCTCTGACAGCCAACTGTGCTGCAGTGACAGGTAAGCACTTTCCAAAAGTCAACAAAGAACTTTGTAGCAGGGGGAAGGAAACTCTCATGTCTACAGCGTCAAGCATGAGCACCAAGGTTATTTTTTGCCTCGGGATACGGATGGTTGTATTTTAAATTAGAATTACAGTATGTTTCCATGTTGATTGCTCGGTGTAAAGTTTGCTGACTTCTGAGATTATTTTTGTGTAACCTGCCAAGTTCAGCAAGAAGCTTTTAGTTGTGAAGATGCTGTCAGCAGGGAATTGAAGTGTTGTGGAGACTTACAGCTGCTAACGCTGTTGTAACCTTGTAGCAGCGGCTCAGAGAGTCACAGCAGTGACACCAACCACAACCACCGGTGTAAGTGCTGCTCTGTTTTCTACTGCTGGTTAACGAAAGGCTAATATTCACTCTGCTGCAGGATTTAGAGGCTTTGATTTCCTTAATTCTGGGTGATTTGTGTGCAAACTTGTGTTTTTCACTAGAAAAACATGGAATCTTTAAAGTGCTTTGTGTCTTGTTTCCACTGCAAATATATTAGTACACTTGAAATTCAACAAAACTAACTTACAACTAACTTTTAAGCAAGATCTTGGAGCTTGTTTTAAGTTAATATTGAATTAAAAAAGACTAGTTCCACTGGCAAATTATTTAACTTTTAGGAAGACATTTTTTTCCATGTTGTAAGTAACGTGCCAGGTTATCAATATTAAGGAATTATTGGCTTATAACAAGCTCCAACATCTCACTGGCAAGTTATTTGTAAGTTAGTTCAAATACACTGACATATTTGCATTTGTAATTGCAAAAAAAAAAAATAAAAATCTTGGTAAGATGTTTTTTTCCTGTGTTCTCTGCAGAACCTTATCTTTTCCAGGTGGTGGTTTGTTGTCTGCAAAGATCAGAGAACTGCAAAGCTTTAAAAGGCACAAGTCATCATTTTGTGTACTGTTCAGTAGCTTGTAGCTTGCACTGGTCGTTTTAATTTTCAACTCTAGCATAGAGAAGTATGTAAAACAGCTCAAGAAAGAGAAACGGGATACATGTGGAACGCCATTGGTTCATTACCCATGTCTACCTGAGGCAAAAGTAATGATTTCAGTTCATGCAGTGAAGATTTATGAGGTGATTCAATTCTATAAATACAACAAATTCAGATAAATATTGTCAAAGCAATGGCTTTGAGACTTAGCAGACCGGCATCCTACTCTGTGATATATGAGCGTGCCATGATGAGGCCGATCTGCTTGTATGTGGAGGAGAATGATTGTTTGAGTCAAAAACTTTAATAGAAATATTCTGGTAGCTTTAAGAAGGACATTGCAATGCAAACAGAATAATTTATAATAGGGAGCCATATATTATTTAAAGGGTCAGTATTATGTAAAATAATTTATTTTTTAGCCTTACATCATGGTTCAGATCTGCAAAATGTTTGGTCCCACTGATCGCTGCCTTTCCTAGAATTTCTTCCTTCCAACTGCAGCCTCCAACAGAGTTTCTGCTTCACAGAGCAACTCTTCCCCACAACTCCCTCACTCGGCTCCTTCAGACTAGCCAGTAGCAATCAGCAAGCATCTGGTGGAACTGCGCATCTGCTGAGTTTCTGACTGAAACGCTGGTAAAACCGCTGTTAAAGGCATAATTAGTTAAAGGAGGAATGCTGTTGTGATGACAAGGAGTGTCTGAAAAAGCAGGAGCTTCTTAAAGAGACAGAGGCCCAATTTCAAGGTGTTAAATTGCAAAGTCAAATTTATTTGACTTTGCAAAGAGTCAAATATTTTTGATATATGCAGTATTTTGAAAGTAACATAGTGACTTGATTGTGTTATAAAATGACTCTACGTGCCTGGAAAATATATAATACTGCTGCTTTAAAAAGTATTTTTGTTCATTTTGCTGCATTAGTGGGCGTGACTCAAAGAGCCGTTATGTTTCAGAAAAGGTTATTTCTTTACTATTTATCTGGTATGAAAATGAATCAAAGACACATTTAGTTTTTTTCAGGTTCTCTGGTTCCACATTAAGGTGATATGTGCCTTTTAGGAGCAGATTTCAGCCGAATCAGACCTTGCTTTTATTCCCGCTTTAAAAGGCTTTGGTGTTTGCTTGTGGGAGCTATTTTGGGGACAATGGATCGTGGTGCCAGCTCTGATAGGACGGGATCATCAGGCAGCGTCTTGGCTGTATGTGTGTGTGATCCCTCACAGACGGCGCGTGCTCCACACAGCTCGCGGGTGGCTGCAGTGCTGGCACCATGTCTGGTCTGCTTGGCGATAGCGGCGATGCTGGGGCTGGCGCTCGTCGCAGCCAAGCTGCGTGAGAGGCGGCAGACGGAGGGAGGTTTCAGGCCGCGGCGGCTCCAGGCTCCTGGTGGTCGCAACCCACCTGCTGAGCTGGGAAACACATCCATCAGCACGCTGGCAGCGCGCGTGGAGCGCCTGGTGTAGTGTGAAGGAGTCAGGGGAGGAAAACGTGTGAGGGGAGAAAAAAAAAAAAAAACGAGTGTAAGAGCATCCAAAAAAATATGACTTATTTAAATAAATCACATGCGACTCCTCTGATTATGTCCCTCTAGCTGACCTCTGAGGGTTTGACCTCCAACCTCTTGCTGTTCGTCAGTCTGGCATCTGTCCTCCTGCTTCTGGTGCTGATCCTGACCTCGGTTGGGTTGGTGGCCGCTCTAAATCGGCGCGCCACCCACGGCACGTACAGCCCCAGCCGGCAGGAGAAAGACGGATCCCGGGTGGAGATGTGGAGCATCACGCAGCCGCCGCCGATGGAGAGACTCATATGAGATCCAGGTGTTTGAGCTGGAGACGAACCCCAGAGAAGCAGATGGATGAGAATGGAAACATTTTACGCTGCTGCTGCTTTCATTGAGTGAAACATTTCATGCAAATAATTGAATCCAAGCTCCTGTGTGCTGCAGGTCAGCTTTAGGCTGCAGGTCACGCTGAATGTGTTTCCGTCTAATGTGTATATTTAAGATCAGAAAATGTTCCTACTTTGTTCTTGGAAATTTTAAGGATTCATAATTTCTTTTCTTCATTTTGTCAGGTTATTTAATGCAATAAATTGGTTGCACTTTTCTTTAAAGGGTGTCAAAGTAAAAGGGGCACAATACATATGCAGCATACACTTTTTCTTTTTAGAGGTATAAGAACAATGTGAAACAGCTTTTGTTCTGATTCGATGTTAAACTGGTTTTATATTGAACGCCTGTATGAGATAAAGGCATGAAACTACATGCATTAAATAAATACACTTTAATCTCAATGTATTTTATTAGGATTTTTGCCACTTAAATATTTTGGAGGATCAGAAAACAGAGTTGATTTAGACACACGCCACACTTCTTAGGAATATATTTGTAATTTTAAGATCCATTTTATTCCTCTTTTTCACATTTGTGTGCTGCTTTGTAAAGATCTAAGCCACTAAATGACACACGAGACGTGTGTAAGGACTGACTAAAATGATTGTGTGGTACTTAGTCATTTAGTGTTGCAATTTTCTTTAAAGAACTGATTCAAAATGTAAAAATCTGAAGTGCTTCAAACTTTATTTCTACAGTGTATATGCCTATAAATATGTTTTAAACTGTTTTTTTTTACTTTCTTTCCATCTCTTTATTTCTGTATGGTGTCAGAATGTTTATTGATTTATTGTCTGTCAAGTGTTAAGATAATAAAAAGTACATTTTTGTGGTCAAATCATTTTATGAATAAGATGAATATTTTAATGAGAATGTTTTTTAAAAAACATAAAAAACATGCATTAAAAAAATAAAGCATAGCAATTTAAGTGTTTTAAAAAACAAATGTCAATATATTTCCGCATGCAAAAAAATTATTTGAACTTATGTTTTGCTAAACCCCCTCCATTAAGTATTAAAGTCAAATTTGTTTTGCGCAATTTCATTTAAAATCCAAATGAAGACACAAAGTGTGTTAAAAGAAAATCAGTCTGAACACGGCAGAGCATGAAACATTATTTATTTCCCGTTCACAGTGTGTACATTGTGTGCTTTTGTACCAGGTTACGCATCAGTAGCACATTAAATTGACCTCAGCTGTGAGACAGCAAAGATGAGCACATGCAAAAGTGCACACCATCAAAAAAATAATAAAAAAAATAGATTACAAAAAATAATTGAGAGAAAAAAACAAAACCAAAAACATCATACCAAAGAGTTAGTCCTGATGAAGAGGCCAGTCTGGAGAAAGTCTGACTGTAACATTCAGCTTGACGGTCATTACACTGACACTGGCTTCAAATACAGACAGGAAAATGACATTAATGTTTGCTAACTTTGTCCATTATTCAGTGAAAGCTGCTACATCAGACATCCCCTCCCTCTCACTCCAAATCTGTAATTATAAAACAAAAACTAATAGAATTATTACTGTGAGCGTTACACAGTGTCATCTTAACCCTGAAATGCAACATCCGTCTCGGTTCCTCACCGTTTCAGGAGCTAAGTCACTAAAGCTTTTCAAGTGGGCCTGTCCTCCCACAGCGCGCCCTAATCTGATGCAAAGCAGAACAAGAAAACAGCAGAAATCTGTTTCCCGACAGGACAAATGTGTAGCAGACGACTTCTAATTTAATGTGAAGCACAGAGAGAATTACACGGATTTCATGGAGGCTTTAAATACTGAAAGAAAATGAGTACCAACAGGACAGATACACAACAGCGTGTACAGTACCAACATGCAGGTTACACACAGTGATCACTGCATCACGTACAGACAACCATCAGCCTTCGTTTCTTCTGAGCAGAAGTCATCACGTCCTTTTGCATCGTCATCACAGCTACATGGGACATTTCTTAATGTTCTCTTCGTTTTCCAAAAATAAAATCTCCAACATTCAAAGCTCAGGTGTCATCTCTCTACAATATACAACACCACTCATAAACGTATATTTCATAGATATCATATATATATATATATATATATATATATAATCCATTTTACATATATTTAATCCATGTAAAATATTTTCAAGCAAGAAAAAATACACATCTATTCAATTGAAAATAATTTTTTTTATCCATATGAAATCAACTAGAGAAAAATTATATATATTTTTTTAATTCAATCCACTCAGAGGAAGATGTTAAAGTGAAATAAAAAATGCACACAAACTATACAAGCAATTAACCTACGAGTACAATCAGAGAAAGTATTCAGTTTATAAAAGAAAAAAAAAAGTTATATTTTAAATATGAGCAGGAAGATTTCCAAACCCCAACGCAGAAAAGAAAAAAAACTAAAACTCACCACAGCTGTGAGTAAAGACACCAGAGTTCATTTCGGGGGATTTTCTGTTGATCAAAACCCGACATACTCTGTTCCTACCACAATAAAGTTGGTCTGGAAATTAGTACCATGTTGTGATTACACAGAGGGGTACTTTCTGCATAAGGCACACAACACATTACATCCGTAAAGGTCAACTCACACAGGGTAAAGTTTTTTTTTTTTAAGAGGGATGTCTTTGTAATCTGTAACCGACTCAACTCCTGACACCACCATGCTGCTGATTTTTAAAACTCAACCCCTATTTTCACGTGCACAATTTGCGAAACAGTTTTAATCTTGAAAATGAAGCGCCTTTCAACCTTTGCAATGATGTCCAGAGTTAAATAGAGACTGTACTGGCTGCTGCTTGTTCCAGTCTGCGTTATGTGTGCTGCACAGACTTCTGTCCAAGTTAAGAACAGCAGAAACACAAGACATTAAAATGAATGTTGTTTAAGGGAAACTCGAAGTTATTTTGTCAACACCTCCAAATATGTAACCAGAAAATATGCACGCGTTAACCTAGCACGTCCAAGTTCTTTGCATAAAAAAGTTGTGAGTATAAGCAAGATGTGATTTTATTGAAGAGAGTAGCTGTAACTTTACAAACTCAAAAAGGGATGAAATATGTTTCATGTACTCAAGTCGAATCAAAACAAAGAGCAAACCAGCTAACAGTAGCCTAGCACTTCAGCAAACTGTTATGCAATAAAAAAAATCATCAGCAGGAATAAAATGTGAGCTGCATTTAGCAAGTTCAGTCAGAAATTACTTCAGAATCAGCTTTAGAGGACTGGTTAAATACGCTAGTGTGGTGGCATTAGCCTACCGTACTGGCAAACTGCTCAACATGAAGAGCTCATTACCAAGAGCAAGATGAGAATTTTCTGAAGACTAACTAACAAATAATAATATCAAAGAAAGAGTAAACATGCTAGCTTTAGCCGAGCGCTTCAGGACTTCAGATAACCGTCTGAAGTCCTTCAGATATACGCAGGAGCAAGACGTGGCTTTGTCAACTTCTGTAACAGTGACTGGAGTCAGATCTCATCAACAAAATCTAGTTGGGATTGGATAGCTGTCAAATGTATCAATGAATTACTAAACCAGAGTAAACATGCTAGTGCTAGCCTAGCATCATTGGGCCAAACAATGGCTATCATAAGCAGGAGTAAAACATGAGTTCATTACAGATGCTTAAGATCTGGTTGGATGAAAATCGCTGTTGCTGTCTGGCACATCATTGATGAGTGAGTTATGTTGGATACAATCTCAAAACAAATGTAAACCGAATCAGTATTTTTAAGCTTGTGTGTGTGTTATTATTTCAAGACTTATTGGGCTCAGACTCTGTGGCAGCAAATGCCTTAATCTTAAGCTCCTGATTGCTATCAGGGACGAAAATAATCCCTGACTGGGAAGATCCCAGTTAGCCGAGTTGAGATTTCTAAATATTTGCATAGTACACAAGTTTGTTAAAGTGTTTACAGTGAGCGAGGCCAGTGCAGAAATTGTTCTGGACTTTGTATTTTTCTTTGTCGTTAACCATTCCTGGAATTACCATGACTGATTCTTTTTAGCTTTTTAGAAGCACGCCAAAGACTTTATGGGCAAATCGTTAACGCAGAGCAGCACTCGAGAAGTGGAGAAACAGCCGCTATTAAACTGCCACACCGACTGGCGTCTGGCATAAATCATAAGAACAACGGACCATAAATGTAGTAATCCCAACCCAAGCAAGAGAAAGAGTTTTCTCTTCCTCTGGGTTTGTGGTGACGCAGAGAACGACACGAAGCCGGGATCCCTGGATGCTGATGCTTCTCTCCACAGGAGAGATGCTTATAAAAATACTTTAGACCCTGAACACATTACATCCATGCAGCGACTCAAAGACCTGCAGCATATTGCTTCATTACAGTACAATCGTCCTCCACTGCAGTACAGTGCAGAGCATTTCCTAGTCAGACACAGGTTGCATTTCCTATTAAAACACAAAGAAAGGAAAAAAGACAAAAAAGGAGAAACATAAGCATGATATCTGTCAACAAATACTAGAAAGATTCCACACAGTTAAAATGAATCTTCCAAAAACTTCAACACGACATATTCCTGCTATTCATGACCCATTTTGTGGTTGATATCTTCAGAACGTAAACAGCCTTAAGGCAAAGTGCCACACAGAGGTTAAGGAAAAAGCACAGAGAGGTGGAATAACGGGAACGGAGCTTGTTTTGGACCGTTTGTGGGATTGGATTCATCAACATCCTTCAAAGTTCGCCAACAACTGTTCTCAATTTGTAAAGCCGGCATTGAGAAGCATGCCAAGAGTAGCAAAAAGCCGATGGAAACAGAAACATAAAGAAAAAGAAATGAAGTAAAAACTCTGGCTTTTCTCAGTCATTCGATGGTTTGCTTCATCAGGTATTTAGTCTTAACAGATAGGAGTAACGTTAACACAAAAATAACACACAGCTCATCAAGAACATCTACTTCTCTATGAATGTGAACTGCTGTATTTAGGATCCTGATTAGAAAGTACCTGCAGTGATTTCTAAAGTTTAAGACATCAGTATCAAAACAAATCACATGTCTGCTTAAGGCATAGTGACCAAAATCATGAATCCAACAAGGTTTAATCAGTTTCAAAGGCCTGCATGGACATTGTGCATCTTGCTGGTTTTGCAGTTTAGTACCAGGTAATAATGGGTGATAATCATAAATTAATCCACGGGTGCAAATGTTTAGTATGAAATGTTCAGAACGCTTCTGAACATTTCAGACTAAATGAAATGTTTATTTAATATGAACATTTCAATGTCAAAGAAACATGATGTTGTGTTTAAGAGAAATTGGCCCTTTGAAATCCTTACAAGGTACGGACATTAAATAAATGAAGCTAAAGTGCTCAGTAGAGATGCACCGATCGACCAGCTGAACGTTGAAATCAGCCAATTTTTCAGCCCAAAGACTCAAAAATGAGATTTTCTATTCATTGAATGCAACAAAATGTACGAACGTCCACCAAAATGAGTCCATAAACATCAACCGATAACCATGCACATTTAGTTTATTAAAATCAGATAATATTTAGTTATATTTGCTTTGAAGCAGAAAGTACAATAAGCCATATTTAATAGTACGTCTATAAAATAACCTGCAGCATGTTTATTTTTCTTTTATGTGTTATGGTCCTCAGAATAAAGAAATTGTTTCGGCAGTTCAGACCTGGAGGAGGATCAGAAATCGGTATCGGCATGGAAATGGTGATCAGTGCATCTCTAGTGTTCAGATTTTTGCAGACAGATAAAGAAAACTGAACTGAAAGCGACGCAGAAATCTCCACCTCTTCTCATGCATCTTATTTGTCTTATAGATTAAGTTTAACATTAATAATATCTAACAAATGTAGGAACATTTAAATTTATTTCACCTTTTAACTGTATGTTTTCCTGATTTGAATCATAATTTAATGTTTGTTATAATTTCACTCACTTTTTGAACATTTTTTAGGTATTCTTGCTGTAAACTAATTTATTTGACCAAGATTTCCTTCCAGTAGATGGAGGACAGGTGGAGGACAGGTGGAGGACTCTGCAGTGCTTCCTTTCAGCGTGACCAGCTCTTTGCTCTGAGGCTTTTTGTTTGTTTTGGCTCTTATTAGGTTTGTTCATAACGTTCCCTTATCATGGAGGGTTCAGCTGATCAGCTGTAATAGACGACAGGAATCTGAGTCAGTTTTCCTTTTCCTGTCGTCTTTAGGACTTCTCTGTGGCTTTTCCTTGGGCCTGATGGTGGCTGTTGCTGCAGTGGACTTGAGAGAGGCGAAGCGATGAGCTGAGGCAACACATGGACTCTATCTCTTCCAGCAGGCCCGGGTCCGACCCTCCAGCCGACTCCGAGCCTTCACACTGACCCAGACACAGACCCAATCCCAGCAGCTTGTCTTTGGGAGCCTCTTTCTCCTCCTTCTTCTCCTCCTCCTCCTTCTTCCAGGGGACCTGGACCTGGCTGCTCTCTCTGCTGCGCTCCCTCCGGATCGACCGCTCGTGGTAGTTTTTCACCATCTCTTTGGACATGACCTTTCTCCTCAGGATGCCGGTGGACCCGGTTTGGTTCCGGGTTTGGGAGGGCTCAGAGTTGACTTGAGGGTCTGAGATGGTGCGACTCCGGCTGGTCAGTTCCGGAGAAGAGTCTGGGTGAGATGCAGGTGGGGATGGGGGTGTAACTTTATGGGGCAGCAGGGGGGAATAGGAGAACCGGTGGTCTCCTGGGGGTCGACCCGAAGGCATGAGGAGGTGGGAATCGGGACTGGACTTAGAGGAGAAGAGGGGAGGAGGATCTGACTTGGTGCCGTTGGCATCATGGGAAGGAGGTGAAGCTGAGCAGGGGGTCACTGCAGAGAAGGCTGCGAGGTTTTTGGACCCCTTCAGGCTACTCTTGTTGGGCTGCCTGCGTGGGGACGGAGGAAGGTGTTTTCCATGGACGGCGCTGTCATCCTGGCCCATGTTCCATCCGCCGTGATCGGCGCCACCATCAAAGCTGCTGTTGTCTGCAACTGCGGAGTCGCTGCAAGGTGAAGGCTTTGACTGGACAAGGTAAAAGAAAGAAACAAAAGCAGAAATTACAAAAAAGAAAATACATCTGCACTCTAAGGATCTGTAAGTTGTGATTGCATTCCTTCACAATAAATTAGCAAATACACCCTCATCTATTTTCTATACAGTCACATTGTTGACAAATTAAAATTTTATGTATGTACACCTTTAAAGCCTCAATGAAAACATGTTTATGCATTCTTCACTCTTTGGTGCAAAAAGTGGTTTAAAATCTATCTACTAATATTTGTTTATATAATATCTTCCAGTGAAGATGGGACTGCACATGAAAATGTTTTTTTTTAACCCTTCAGGTGTCAAACAAAACCGACAAATGGCGAATATACCTTGTGAAACAAACTCAGAAATAGTCACAACAGTTTGGATACACTCCTTCTTTCTTGCAGAAAGTTTCTGTCATTTTTATGTTTTGGGGGAGGGATGGAAAGTTTCTGTTGATCGTTTTGCAAATAAGTTTTTGGTGTGTTTAATCACAAAAAATTTTACAAAACTTTAGATAAGACACAGACAAGATATCGACATACAACTTTATATTGTAGCAGAAAGACTTTCAGTATTCAAGAACTGATTCAAAGATACATAATTGCACAGGAATGCAAAGTAAAAATTTCCCTCCATGTCCTCTAGGGGGCTCCACACGTTTTGGTCTTTGTTTTGTATCTTTATTCTATCACAGATTAACTTGGGCATACCTGGACCTTGAAGTCCACGTCATCCAGGGACCTTAAGAAGTCCAAGCTCTTGGCAGCACTGAGTTTTCCTTGGTCCATTGTTGTGGTGGTCAGAGAGTCCAGGATTTCCTCCAGCAGGTTCATCTGGCTGGAAGGCGACGAGTCGATGTGTGGATAGAAGGAGTCCGAATCGTCGCTGTCTTCTGTGTACGAACAGACCTCGCCGCTGTCTTCAGAGGAGATCCTGGATTAAAAAAAAACAACAAATAAAAACACGTAGCACAATTATATTTCATGTAACGTACTAAAAAGAAGAGATGCAAGGCCACTTCGCAGTAAATTTGATAAATTAAGAGTTTCCATTCCAGTATAACCACAAAAGGTCAGGATAAACGTTAGCTGTGCAGAAAACCAGAATTTTTTTAGTCTTTAAATGTCATAGGAAGAAAAACTCCAAAGCAAAACTGAAACATCAGGTGTCCATAACATGCTTACAGATGTTAGAGGTTCTGACAGTAACTGAGAAACAAAATATGTGGTAGATGAGAAAATGCTAAAATTAACATCTCAGTGGGAGTTGTGTGAATAAATATTATAAGAATAAATGAATAACTTAACTTTCTATGGTCAGGGTGTTGGTCCACTCTGTTTATTTACATCCAAAATCAGTGCTGAAAACCTTGGACCCAAGAAACTGGCCTGACCAAAACCCCACAGTGAGCACTTTTCAAACTGATTTGCTGAAATAAATGAACTTTTATACTAAATTTACTGAAATGCACCTGTTGCTCTAGCAACCCGACAGTGGTGTCCATCCAATGATGCTGTAAGTAAATGGGTCCACTGGAGGGCAGTATTATCATTAGCAACAGAAACATATGACTTTGTGTCTGGACCAAAGGCAGTCAACTTCTCAATCAGCCAAAGTTGCCTAATCTGGCATCTTTGTTCATACAGAAAAGAAAAATAAAGCATCGCCGTCAGCTACTTACTTGCTCGCAGTGTCCAACTCATCATCGTCGAGACCGTAGCCGAGATCTCGAGGGCCCATGCTCATGGGAGACTTGTTTAAGTTGTGCTGTTAATGAGAATAACAAAGCAAGGGGAAGCGGTTAACACATATGATCACAACAAAAGTGGACCTGGGGGGGTCTCAGTTACTCTGTTATAATAACAACCAGGGTTCTGCAGAGATGGAGGGACTCATAAGACTACAGAAAAAAAAGTGTGTCAGGTGAGTCCCCATAAGAGAGAACAAGTATCTTGTTTTAATGAGTCCAGGCCCTGAGGGTTGAGACTAAATTTGTCAAATTTGGATCTGCAGGGGAAAAGAAAACCCTTTAAGATCCCCCGCAGTAATTTGCCGAGCTCAGCATTACGTAGAAGCTAAAAGGCACTTGAGTGCTGCAACACGGGTGACTACATTGATCATTTGCATTATGGCACCGGCACATGTGATCGTATTTGTCACAGCAGAGAGCTGAGTGATCAGTGTGGAGCGTAGTTGTCTGCCGCGGTGGGTTTAATAAGCCACCTGTGTACTGAGTTTAATGGGCGGGTTAAGGAAGAGACAGAAGCTTTACAGAGCAGGGCAGGACTCACCCCCCATGGGAGCCCAAATCTGCCCCAGGCCACTTATTAACATGCCTTCCACTACGACGCACATGTTCCTCTCACTATGTGTTCATGTTCACTGATGTTAACACTATCTCTCATCTTCTAATTTACACTCTTTGGTGTTTGCTGCTCACCTTCTGTGTCTGTTTTCTTTTGCTCTAACTGTCCCCCAGCCTGCGCTTCCCTCAGAAACAATCAGGAGTTTCAGCTCGCATCGTTTTTAAAGCCGACAGACTTTTCTGTAAAATCAAACTGGATTTAAGTGCAGTTTGTTAATAGAGCAAAACGCCATGGTCTTAAACTGCTCTTTGTAAAAAAAAATTTTTGTCAAGACGAAGGAATAAATCAAACACATGATAAATTAAAACAAATTCAATAATTTCCATTTGCATGATTTATTGTTCTTCTCTTTTCTGTCTTTCTACCAAAAACTGGATGACAAAAGTCTTCAGTCTGCTGCTTTGGTCTCTACTAGATCTTTTTTTAAAGGAACAATTTAGTTTACAGAGACTTCATCATTCATTTTATTCATTGTTTCTGTTATTTTGTTAAATTATTTTGGATATTTAAAATGTCTTCCAGTGCCAGTGGTAAATGATCTTTATTACTACTTTTATTACTTACATTATTACTATAGTCTTATTTGAAAATGATTTACAATCAACAGTATTATTGTTTATTGCAATAACTTCTGAGACAACTTATTAATCAGGAAAATTGGCTATCATCAGAAGCCTAATCAAGATAAAATCTGACCTCCACTTTGCCTGATTACATCCGATCAGGGAACTCAGAGTTATTTCGGATCCACTTGGATTGTTGAAACTTTTCTCTTTATTTGCACTTTTAATTCAAATTCTATGTTCAAAGGTGTTTAATAACGACTCTATGATCCTTGGTGATAATTTAGAGTCATGTTTTTCTGATACATTATGGTCAAAACTGATCACCGGGTAGCCAGATTTGCATTTGTGCCACTGTGCTTGCACTTGTTTTGGTGCATATAAAATATATACATTCTTCATATCATCATCAGAAATCCAAGATGTAGCATGAACCAAGCTTTAACTCCTCACTTTTCAATTTCAGACTTCTTGTCCACTTCAGCTGGATTATATGATTGAGACAAAATTAACTCTTGTTTAGCTGCTTCGTCAAAAACTAAGCTGGTTACTCAAATTAATCACTTCTTTTTCTGGTTTTCCTCCTTAGATGTCAAAAGAGAAAATTCAAAAGACTAAAGTTTACCCCAGATTTATGAACCATAATGTGTCAAAGTCAACAGCAAATCCTCCAACATCTTTACTGATGCAAGCTGATCGGCTTGTTTCTTCTGCCACTTGTGATGTCATCAACCCAAATTCACACAAAGTACAATTAGCAACTTATTTATTGTTTTAAAAATGTAATTTTATAGAATCTTGCCGCCAAACGCGACACTTCAGTATCTATCTACATGTGGTTTTACTGTCAGTGCATTTTGTTAAGGATTATACACACCACTGGTTGGATATCTTTAAGAGCGCTTAGCTCCACCTCCATGTTTTTTTCATGCACTGTTACTCTGGAAGTGTCAAATACAAAATAAAGAAACTCCTCAGACAGAAAGTGACTCCAGCTCATAGTAAAAAGGTAAAGAAAAGCAGTCAAAGGTGACTGAAAATGTGACCAGCAAAGAGGGCGATGAATGGAAAGTGGAGAGAAGGAAATGTAGGAAGGTGAGGGAAGAACTTTGTATGAATTGATGGGAACGGCGTGTGTATGGATGAATGAATGCGTGTGTGTGTGTGTGTGTGTAGAGGCGGGTTTCAGGGGGAGAGTAACTGCGAATCAAGCTGGTCCTGATTAGTGGCACCAGTGCCAGCCAGACAGGCGGAATGTAACGTGTGGCTGCGCTGCCCTCATTTAGGGCCCGTGTTCGGCCATGAGAGACGCGCACGCTAACACGCACACTCCATCACATCCGCACCCTATTACCAAAAAAACACAAAGAGTTAAAGTGCCACTTTCTCCATAAAAGTCAGTGAAGGAGATGTGTGCAGTAGCCACTTAAGCCTCTCAGCCATCAGGCTAAACATGAACACATGTGGCGGCACTGCTGATTGGTCGAGCTGCTCCCCTTCCATGGTAGCTTGGAGCCATAATGAAAGAGATTTCAGAGGGGCTCAGGCCTGGGATCCCTAAACAGCCTTTAATGGGTTCCTGTGTCAGGGCCGTAAATCTGGGGCCCGGGCCGACACGCCAGCCAGCCGTGGCAGGCCGGCGGAGCGGAGATGCACCTGTGATACAGCGGGGACGAGTCCGCTTCAGACAGAAACATGACGGTTACATGTGTTGTATGATCGGAGTGCAAACAGTTTGTTTCAACCGGAGCAGCCCCCACTCCCCCCCACCCTCCTCTGCATTTAGGTGTTTATTAAAGCAAGGTGAACCCAAACACCAGCAGACACAGGTCACGACGCCTGGCTCTCTGATCTCGGTTACAGCTCTGGTGCCGTCTGCCTGACAGGAAGTTCCACGGGGAGCCGTAAACGGATGGGACCTCACTTTCCGGCTTTATCAATTTGTCATTCCCGCTCTTCATCGTGACCCCGTGGTGCGACATTTAAGATTAAACTGCTGCAACACCAAAGCGACTGAAGTGCCACCAGCTGGTTTAACCAGCTGGTTTAGATCATTTTCTCTCTTTAAAAAAACCATGCTGGATTCCTGTCGGTAAAATCCACAAGGTAAAACAATCTGCCTCTCCAGAGCTGTAAGAGACCTCAGACAGAAGCTGATTCACAATAAGTCAACAACAGCAATAACAAAAACATGCAGACATTCACAATAAGAGCTTCTCCCTTCGCTGAAGCCGTGACAGCTCTGTCACCATCCCACTTCTCCCCAGGCCTGACAGGGCAGTGGAGAGCACGAAATAGGAGAACAACAGATTATCATACTGCTCCTTCATTAGTTCCTTGCTGTCGGCTAATGGGAAGCTGAAAGGTGAAAATGAAAAAGCGATTCCCGCTCCATGCCTCCCTGTCTCTCATTTTCTCCCTCCGTCACTCTGCTGCCACTGACAGATGTCACCGTTTCGGTCTGTCTGTCTGCCTGGCTCTTGGTTCCTTCCTCTGCGCCGCGTTGCCACAAGTAAAGACCGAACACAGTCAGAGCTCAGGCAGTGAAAGAGTCAGGGGGGAAGCAGGAGAAGCAGAAAAAAAAAAAAAAACAGAAATGCAACAGTTATTTCAGTGACTCGATTCGGTTTTTCTGAATATGCAGAGAAGATTGATATGTTTCTTTAATATGGAAAAGATACGGAATGCCTGCTTCCTTATCAATGTATAGAAGCTTAATTATTTTCCTATTTGTATCTTGATTTAACTATTTTGACCTTCAACAGAAGCATAAAAATACCAAAATATTACAAGTAGAGAAACAGTGATTGTGCTTTTCTGAGGATAGACCAGATCACCTGCTGACTGAGATTTTTTTCTATAGGCCATAAAATATTAAAGAGAAAAAAAAAGTTGCAGAAAATACACTGACCGAGGTAGTTTTGAACCCAACAGCACATGAAAGAAGTGTGTGATTATCCCCATTAATCCATCAAAGTCTGGGTCCCCCAATCATAATAAATACTTAGACATTTTATGACAGCTGAACATCAGTCTTTTACAACCAGATTCAACTCACTATTAAACGGAACGAGTTTTGAGTCTAAAAACATACTTTGCTCAAAAGAGGTCGCATGTCTCATTCCAAGAGAAAATGAGAAATTTAATACCTCACTTTATACCTCAATGTCTCGAATTTGTTACTAAAAGTACCATTTGTCTTTTTGTTTTAAGATGTAGAGACGTTAGTGGCCTTTATTCACAGGATTTATACAGACAGACATGTAACATGGATGGTTGCATGCAAGACAGAAAGCCTCTGTACTGCTATGCCAGACGGTAAGCAGAAATAGAAACTGATGGAAAAACATAGTCTCGATGCTTTATAATAAAAATGTATTTCTTTGATCATTTGAAATAGAAATATCCTTTGTTGTTCCTTTGTGGGGAAACTCATTACCAGCAGAAAAGTGTGAGGCAAATGGATGCAGATTCACACAAAGGGTGAAAATATAACGGTAATCATGAAAAGTGAGAGATTCTACAGCAAGAGCAAATTTACAGCATAACTTAAAATATTGTATGGCATAATCAACACAAAATGTTTCAGTATTTCACCTTCACAACACTGCCAACGACAACGCCTATAACTTGTACATCTTTATCAATGATTGTGAGCAGACTATGCCTGATAATTAAAATAGATCAATACAAAAGAAAAAAAAAACATCACATCAAAGAGGCATTTTTTATTCAACAGATGCCCTGACCAGACTCTTTTACACCAATTTTCATGAGCCTTTGAGGTCAGATCTGCTGATTTTTAAGCAATTATGATTTTTCTGTGGATTTAAAAAGG